GACCACGGAACCAGCGGCTCTAGTCGTTGTATGGCCGATGGGTTAAGCGTGAGACACCACATAAATGCCATAGAGATGTGCACACTCGGATACATGTTTGGGTCACCGATTTGGCCGAGCATGACAATTAATGTATGAAAGGCGAGAGAGCTCGCTCGGAATGCAAGCTGGGACGAGAGATTGCTATAGACAGGATAGATAGGCTTTGTAGCAGTTGTGTTAGATGCCCACTCCATTGCCGCTAGGCGATCTTCTGCTGTAGGATTGCGTAATTTCACTGTGAAATCTGTTTCCATCACTCCATTTTTGCTCCCATATTGAAATATCGCAGCGATATTGCAAGACGTGAGTTGAACACCTTGCTGCCCGTGTCGGCTTACCCGGCTAATATCCTTACGCAGAGTAGCAAGAAACACGTTCGCCCGAGAAACAAATTCTTCGACCGGAGCCTGCATAAAAAGCGCACCGTGGGTAGTCACGAATGAAGTTATCAAAGTTTGGTTCTGAGCTGGCACATTCATCCAAGGAGTGACCAGCTGTGTCATGCTCTCGAGAGCATTTGGGAATGCGCGTACACTGATCAATGCTTTCGTGTAGTGAAAAAACTGCTGAAGAATATCCGGGCGTGCTAAAACAGCAAGATGATGCTGGATGCGGCCGTTCTCTGGGCTTTGGTCTGCGTCCTGATTATACCAATACCTCGACACGCCTGCCCATAGTTCGCGATCCTTCTTATCAAGTTCTTCTACGGCCATGCGATACCGCGCCAAGTCACCTAGGCACTCGATCCAAGTCTCTTTGAAGTATGACACGCTTTCCAGCAACAATGTTATCATCGAGTACGAGAGGTAGATAAAGTCAAGCATGTACTCCATCGAGCCGGGGAGTTTCTGACGCAGCAGCTCCAAGAATGAATGCACTCCATAACGCCACATGCGCGCCGGCATTGCGTACTTCTCAGCTAAATCTCTGAGAACTGGACCAGCTGACGGGTGCTGGGAGGCGAGAAAAAAGTCATGGTGTTCGTAGAGTAGTGTTCGGTGCAGTGAGACGAGTGTTTGCCACTGAGCCTGTGATAATTCGGCCTTTGATTGCGCCTGTTGCCTGTCGATCTCGATGCACTTTTTTTCCACCATGACAAGGCCTGTATAGATTCCCCGCACTTCATTGATCAGTTGCTTTTCGGTGATGGTGTGGGTATCCGGTTGCCTAAACATTTCAAGTGGCCTTGCTTCCTGAGCGACTGTCGGTGCCTCAATTATTCCCACTTTTTCCTTTAATAGTTGAATATTTTTTGTGTGCCATGATTCTTGCGCTTGCACAGTGTGAGGAACTTTCTGGATTCCATCAACATTTTGACCGTGCACAGCAATGGGCGTTGAATGTGATCTTTGCAATTCCGGGCGTGTCGGAAACCCTTGAGCTACCTGCAACTTCTTTTCCTGTCTGGGCACATTGCTCTCTTTTGGATCTGCGAGGCATTCAATTAAACATTGAGGCGCGTCGGGATTTAGCTGGGAAGCCGAGAGCGACAACCGCCGAGCCTCTCTAGAGACCCGGAAGCTGTTCCGGCGACGAGATTTGTCAACGTGGCCTACACTGGTGCGAGCGGGACTTCTGAGGACTCGCACGCCGTGGCTACTGAGTGTTTCCATAGTGCAATCGTCTCCCGGGACGCCGGTGGAATTCGGCCGAGCACCGGATATTGGTGGCGTGGCGGAGCAGCAGCCAGCACCCATCGATTCAGAAATGAGCTCTTCTGGCAATAATCTTTTAATAGATCGCCTTTATAAACTGTTAAAAAGATATGTAAGCAATAAAAGGAATCGACTTGCCTGGGTGACACGTCGCTACAGACTGTGTCTGAGAGTCGAGCCTTGGCATCCAAGTAGAAACGCCGAGGCCGTGCCTCCTTACACAGCTCGCTCATTTCAACTAGGGAGAATTAGTTTAACCTTTGAGTCTTTCAGGTGCCCAACGTACCTATAAAGAGATGGGAATGAATTCACATGTATAAAAGAGGGGAAATGAATCATATTTATGCAATAGGGTGGCTAAGGAATTCTTAAAAGGGTTGCAAGGCAGCCTGGGTGACTAGCCCGAGAGGATGTCGATCGTCCTACCATTCTGCCTAGCATCTTTGCGTCCCTTCAAGGTTTACTGGTTGCCTTTATTTATATTGCTACCTCTTTTTCTCCGACATACACCTTTCTCAGCCCATGTCATTTTTTTTTATCTTTCTCTTAACGGCGTTAAATGGGTAGCCGTCTTGACCTTGTGCCTCACTTTTTCTATGGACTTGCCAAAATATCAACAAAAGAAAAATTGAAATAGGTTTTATTTAAAACAGATGATCCCTCAATTATTAGACAGCCTCACCGGTACAGTCCAACTCTACTCCATTGCCTAAAACTCTGCCTATGGTTCCCCAACACCCGATATGACATGCGCCGTCTAATGATTAGGAAAATCCTTTGGGAGTCCCCACGCCTGTCCTTGCAGCCCTTGGGCATTGTTTGCTTCGTCACCGCTCTTTTCCTACTTTTACCGAGCTTAAACGCATCGGTTGTTTTGACCAAGCTCTAACAAAAACCAATGGCGTTTCCGTCCGATGAGCCTTTGTGTGCTCTTAGTTGGTTCATCTGGGTACTGGGGTGACCCGGCTCAAGTAGTGCGATGTCGGCTTCCCATTGAGCATTGACTACGGATTGAACAATACCGCATTTCCTCTTCCGTTCACCCAGAATGAGGCAATTTCTAATCAATAGCTGGGTCTTCCAGGGTTTGATTGGAATGTCCACCCATCATTGGCAGCCTTGGTATTCAATCGCCAGTGGATGGGGTTCCTTGAATTCCCGGTTGACATGCAATCATGCAACAAAACTTGCAAATGGGCCGATATATGGTTGCCCAAATTGCCCACGGGATATCTTTGAGCGTTGGACCCCCATGGTCTTGGTCAAAACGCTCAGGTGATGACTCGACTCCAAGATTATTCGCCCTATGGTCAGGGGGCTATACTGCTCTCTCATACTTCCCATCTATATCCATCTATACGAAGTGCCTGAGATACAGTAATACATTCTTAACATAGAAGCAGCTTTGCCAATCATATCCAACGTATGTGGCTGGGCTAGCACAAATGCGAAAATAGGTCAGGATATAGGCTGACCACCGCGTAAGCAAATATCCCCACGTAAAACAAGTCGGGTGGCTTGGCATGACTGACGTTAGTCACTTTCAGCCTGTCAACAGGAATCTCAGACCTAAGCCTATTTAGCGCCCGTAATAATCTGAGCGCGTTTTAAGGGTGGTATAAAAATAGTCAGATATCCAATATAAACGCCTGTTTTTATTTTCCCCCTGTGCCACCATGGGTCGCACGCATGTTGCAAGGCAACGGTAGAAAAATCGTTTACTCCACTTACCCGGAACAAAGGGACCTATTCCCGTTAACGCTCATTCACCCCCTTCCCTTCCCAACTTAAATTATACCCGCTGTAAGGAGTGATGTGATTGTAAGCCACACGGGAAGAGGCAGGAAAAACCCTAGCACAACTCATGCACCCGGGTGAAATTTCGGTTTCCTCTCCCCCGGATTAAAATCGAGAAAGTGCGGATGCAATTTATCTGCTCGGGGACAATCTAATGCAATAAACTCGCATGCAACATGCGAGAGCTAGCGTTGCCGGAGCGGGGAAGGACTACAGATTTCACCCGGGTGAAGTTCTATGCGACTTCTAGAGCTCGGGGATCTACTCTGTAGGGATCTTCCCCTGCGCTGCATAGAGAAGGGGGGTGTCGTCGGCTATAAAATATGATGCGATTGGTGGTGGGCTTTTATCGTCTGATTATGGAGTTTCCAAATTCGGATGATCCTAGAGTGTGCTTTATTTCGGAGAATGATAGATGTGACCTTTCGAGCATGCGGCAAACCCATGTAGCCATTGATAGGATTGAAAATAGGCTCCCTCTAAACTGCCCGGGTAACATTTTGCTTTTGAACATGAGCAGGTCAGATGCTACATTAGGACATGTCGACATCGATGCTTCTATGACCTTATCAGCAGATTTGCTCACCCAGGCAGCGAACAAGTTGTAGAAAAGGCTGACCGCTATTCACCTGTTCCTGCTCGGCCGAAGTACTTGCGTTCAAGCACTTTCAAGTTTCCGCTTTTCTTTTCTCTCTAGCCCAGCGGAGCTCGTGTGACACGCATATCACCCCTCGTCTGAGCCCGAGATCTCTGTTCCTAGTCAAAGAATGTAGAAATTCACATGAAAGATGCAGTAGACAGGCTGTGGCCGTGACTAGATAGAGATAATTTATAGAAACGAAACCATGAGTCTTTTCGTTGGGGGTTTTCTACGAGGCTGTCAGGCTGTAGCTGTAATATATATTATTCATATTTCTGTATAGCTTTACACAAACGTCTGGTCCACACCGTCTATATGGATAGCACGTTGACCGATGAATAGTTGGATCATTGCTCGTAGGGATGTCAAGTTCAACATGGACAACCTCATACCTACCGTGACTTAAAATCCGATATCTACGTGATGTATGGCTGACGGTAGGTATGGGGCGCATGATGACAAAGTTGACCCCTGAATCCCATTTGTTTGAAACCAGTAGACGAAGCTATGCACTAGTTGCTGTTTCTAATAAAAGATGGAACTATATGAAGTTTGGGGCCGATAGCTCCAAAGCTGTAAATGGGCTCCATGACGAATTCATGACTCATTCCAAATATTTACATAAACATAATTATTTCTTAAGAATTTAATAATTCACAAGAGTGCTTTGGTTATGGACATCGAAAATATATATTTAGTTAGTGTGTGCCGGTATGAAAAGGGGCCAAGATCAAGACTCCACGACGTCATAGAAACAAAAAACAATGAACATCCATATGTGCGCGTTGTGTCCAGAACACTTACAACCCAATTTGCCATCGTAAAACATCCCAATCGAGGACTTAAATCTGACCAAATCCGAATTAATGAACTGCTTCCGCCTTGCCGCACGACACCTGAAGCCAACACAACCCATCCCCACACACAGACCAACCATCAGCATCACCAAAGCAACAATAAAACCAATCAAGATGTCAACATTCACAATCCCCGGCTCAAACCTCAACGTGAATAGCATCCCAGACTTAAGCCAGAATGATCTACTTTCATTCCCAGCCTTCAAAGTCTGGATAACAACCCTCCAGCAGTCCCTCGCGCGACAAGAACACCCCTCACACGAGTTCCACAGTGACCCATATGTACTACGCAAAATCGATATCCAATCCGTCGACCGCTTCGGTGGTGGGCGATTAGGCTTCATCAAATTGAAAGCAGAGGTATCAAATGGCCAGGGCGAGACTTTGCCCGGCAGCGTATTCTTGCGGGGTGGCAGTGTTGGCATGCTAGTGAGTTGCACCCAAAAACATTTCTACTCGATAAGAGGGTTTTCCCCTCTGCGCTATTGTCTACATCTGGGCAAAGAAATACATACTGCGCCCCAGCCCCACCACCCAAAAGCATAAACATGTTTTGTTCTTTTCTAATTTTATGAATAGCTCATCCTTCAACCGGATGATATACCCTCCCCGACTGAGAATGACAAGCGCGCTATCCTGACCATCCAGCCCCGTATTCCAGCAGGCTCGCTGGCGTTTCCGGAGATTCCGGCTGGGATGCTCGATGACAGTGGGACGTTTGCTGGTGGTGCGGCGAAGGAGATCCAAGAAGAGACGGGTTTGCAGGTTGAGCAGAGCGATCTGATTGATATGACCTCGCTGGCATTGCAGGCTGCACAGGAACCTGGTTATGGCGAGCGCCTGCAGCAAGCTGTTTATCCGTCCCCTGGTGGGAGTGATGAGTTCATTCCGTTGTTCTTATGTCAGAAGTCTATGCCTAGGAAGGAGATAGAGGAGTTACAGGGGAAGCTAACGGGGTTACGGGAGGACGGGGAGAAGATTACGCTTAAGATTGTGCCTTTGACGGACTTGTGGAAGGAAGGGCTTAGGGATGGGAAGACTTTGGCTGCTTGGGCTTTGTACCAGGGACTGAAGCAAGATGGGCTGCTTTGAGTGGGAATAACATGTACGTATGGGGGATGGAAAAAAAAGGAATATGGCGAGATGTTTCATAGATATACAATAGAGCGTTGTGTATCAATGTATGGTTGTACTACAAGCCAGTGACATACTACACGGCTACTAGCTCACAACTTCCATTTCTTTGCTAGTTCAACCCCCTCAGCTAGCGTTCCAACCCTGGCATCAATAGCATAACCTTCTTTTTCAAGCTTCTTCATCTCGTCAAACAGCGAGCTCAAAGGAACAGTAAAACATTCAATGAACTCGTTATCCTCGAGCTCAGGCTTTGGGTTCTTGTTCTCGGGAAGAGACATATCAACCCTGACGTGGACCATATGCAGATTGGTATTGCAAAGTCCTGGGTCTAATCAAGCCACAGATATTTGTTAGTTTTCAGCTCCCCAAGAAGTTGGATGACGCTGCGAAACGAGACCAAAGCTGGCAGCCACTGCCCACATACCGTTAAACATCAATGGACTAGTCTGCTCTGCCACGCCAACATAACCAGTCTCCTCCTTAAGTTCACGAATAGCACACTGCTCAGGCGTCTCACCCGCATCGATAAGTCCCGCGGGAACCTCAATAACAACTGCATCAATAGGGGGCCGGTATTGCTTTTGCAAAAGTAGCTCCGAGCCACTATCTTTGTTCAGAATAGCGACGATCCCCACGCCATCAAGGTCAATACCGGCAGGACGAGTCTGGGAAAACGCGGTTAGCATCAAATCCAAAATATAGATTCTAAAGGCAGAGAGTCTAAGAAATTGTTTGAGCTGGGTGGTAACCGAGATCCGACCAATGCATCCAATACATTGCAAGGCAACCAATGATGTGGGTTTGGTGGATACGGCACAGGGTAATACCCGGGTTTATGTCACCTGGCGCAGAGGCTCCCGGTACTGGGGAGCCCTGCTAATGCGAACCACCATTTCATGATTTATATGAGGCTGGATCTTAGTCTATCATGCAGTTGCGTTCTTGTGGCAGTTCCGAGGGTCTGTCACTTGTATACATGCACCGGGTGTAGTGCATATACCCCGGATATTGACCAACAGCGCATACATAGATAAGCAAGGAACAAGGCGGAGTAGGTCTTACCGTGCGCTCAGCTGATTCCCATGTTCGCTCGACACCCAGGGGGTCAGTGTATGTTGTCTTGACCATTCGAGCCCAGCGGGCCTCGTTAGGGTCCTGTTTGGAATAACGCGTCAGTCATGCGCTGGCACAATGATATCACCCCAACTCTATTTTATACATGGTAGACTGGGGATTTGTTGCTGAATAGACCCTCGAAGAGATTGGAATAACGTACCAATGGTCCCCGCGAGACGAGTTTCGACTTGGCCTGCGTGCGATCTGACATTGTGATGGGTGATTTTGATTGAAATGGTAACAAGCTGATATTGATATATCTGTCTAATGGAGTAGTTGCTAGATCAACCAATCTCAACTGGCAAATGGGCACCCGAGGTCGGGAGGGGTAATGGCGGGGTTGGCCCTTATCTTATCATTCTCATAGATCGGTCTTCGATGCTTTCAAGTGTTTATGAAAGAATGCAACTACACAATGTACACTAAACTCCTGAGTTGAAAAAAAAGATATTTGCTAAATGGTATCTCATTGCGCATCAAAACCTGTCTATATGAAGGCGGAAGATACGGAAGAATAATGCACCAGGCAAAGAAGAAGGTAGTAATAACCGAACACAGTCCAGCGTCAAGCAGAACGACTCTTGTGTCAAAAGAAATGGAAACACCTTTTGAGAACAGAAAACGTCAAGAGAAAGGGAAAAAAAAATAATAGAAAGAAAAAGCTCCCTAACGACCATACGCTCGCTATCATAACATCATGGGCGTATAAACGTCACCAGAGAAAGTTTAAAGGCTGGACTGAGCATCGCTGGCCAGACTATTCTCGATATCCTTCATACGATCCTCAAACTCAGACCAATGATACATGACGGTCTTTGCACCAAGGTCAGTCAGGGCCTTAGCCATCTCCTTCTGTGTCTCTTCGCCGTTATAGCTGCCAACATAGGCGATAACGGGAATACCGGCACGAACCGCCGAAAGTGCGCCAGATTTGCTGTCCTCGACGGCAACAGTCTCGCCAGCAGTCTTGCCGACCTGCTCGAGAGCATACAGGTAGATAGCGGGGTCGGGCTTAGAAGTCGGCTTCGGCAGAGAGCTGGCAGCGCTGAAGACCTTGTCTTCGTCAAAGTACTTGTCCTGGTCAACCTTCCTGATGGAAGCGAGCACTCGGCGCAAAGCGGAAGAGGAGACAACGGCAAGACCGTACTGCTTCGATGCGTAAAGCTTCTCCACCTCCTCGCTGGCACCGACACAGGGCTTAGCCTTGGCCTCCAACTTGGCAATGACCTTGTCTTCTTCCTTCTTGACGTATCCTTCCAGCTTCTCCGGCTCGATCTCGAAATTGTACTTGGTCTGCAAGGAGGCCATCATACCGCGGAAGTTTTGACCGACAAAGTCTTTGATGAGTTGGTCACCGGTATAGCGGTCGGGGATGTTGTTCGCCTCCAAAATCTCATTGGCCAGGTCGGCGCAAGCCTCAAAGGCCAGCTCCTCTGAGAGGACCAGAGTGTTGTCGCAATCGAAGAAGATTTCTGTGATCTGTAGACACGTTTAGCATCGGCGGGTCTCTCATGAGGAATACAATGATCCTCGTACCTTGCCCATGATGAAGATATGGAAATTAGATCCGAGGTGTTTTGTGTTTGTTTATTGAGATTGGGGGGAAAGTAGAGGTACAATGTGCGAAGTATTTGTTACGATCTAGGAGAGTCAGGTAAAAAGAGAAGAAGGTTGCCTGGGGGAAAGCAAAAAAATTAGGCGACTGGAGTATTTAAGCCAAGGCAAGAGCTGATCCCAAATGACGCCGAAATCAAAATCCCTAAAAGGAAACCGGGCCAGAGCGGGAGGGGCTCACTGACGTTGGGGCTATGTGTACCTGATACCTGGACTTGGCTTATATCATAGTGCCAAAGCAGGTATCCAGTACCTCGAACCTGGGGGTATGGCCAGATATTCAGCCAATAAAAGCACAGGTAAATATAGTACGCTAGTCTATTTACAGACTAGTATCCATTTTCTACTCCGGGCAGGTGGGATAGTTTCACCTTGCGTTTTCTCGCATCTTCTCGCATCTTCTCACCGGTTTATTTCAATCCATGTTTGAAATTTGCCTTATACAGTCTCGTGACTTTATTCAAGACTCTGCTCAAGTGACTTCTATATGCAAGTTACTTTATCACCTGATGTTTAGAATGTACAAGATTCTAGACTGCATGCATATGGGCCGTACAATTGGGTACTGAATACGATTCCTCCGTACCTACACATAAACCTACTACTCCGTAGGCCCGAACTCATGCACGGTCATGGCTCCGTCTTCTCATATTGTCTTCCCCTTGCCCTCCAAGGGGAGGCCGAACTCCAATTCGCAAAGAAAGCCGGGGGGCACGGAAATGATTGAGAAACATACATCAGCATGCAGGCCCGAGATTCCGCCCGTTGGTCCATCTTCCCGTGTCATCTTAAATAACTGCCGCGGTCAGATAATATCAAGTATGCACTTGGACGTTCAAAGCCTGCTTGGCGGGTTGGGAGAGACAAACCCGACATTATACCTCGATGCGGAGTAAGACCATTCTAGTTCCGGTGAGTAATGAGCGATTTGAATATTCAACTCATTCTATTATCACCGTGATCAAAAGGTAGTTTATCATCAACTGCTAGGGGGAGCAGTGCCCGACGCCTATCTTACCATTTTCGGAGCGCGGCAGTCCGGACTTTGACATTGTAGACTTCCTAAAATTTTAGCCAGCAATTATTTCATCCCAATAGCCAAATTTCCATATTCACACCACCAGGAACCATGTAGTACACCTGTTGTATATATCGCACGAACTCGGGTCCACCTATTCCCTCCAACCACCATGATTGGTCAGACTCAAAATCCCAAACGCACCTGCTAATTCCACAAGCCTTCCTTCACAACCCGAAGATCAAAAAACCAGAACATCTCATCAAATCAAATCAATCTAAACCAGCACGACCTCAGCGGATCTCGGGTCAAATCGTCATTTTACACAGCCTGCGGACCTGAAACGGCTCCTAGTACAACCCCAGAGTACACAAGCTGATATATTTGAATTCGAAAATATACTTGCTAGCTTTAGGCAAAAGAAAGCATGGGGTCCTCCGACACTTTTCCAACCCTGGAATCCCTTCATTTTCCGGAGCAGCTGTCAATCTCCCAGACACTTTCGTCTCTGCGTCGATCGGCGCTGTCCGTCGCCAATCGGCTCCAGTCTATTGAGACAGATGCCACCTTTGCGCAAGAGGTCGCTGACCACTATGGCTTACCACTGGTTGCCAATGAGCGCTGTGGAAGCTGGTATATTCCGCCTGCGGCCAAAGCCGGCAGCGCTTATTTCAAAAGCACCGACGGCCACACCGGTCAGTGGGATTTTAGCTTTCGTAGGTTGAACCTGCAGTTACTTCCGCTAGCTAGAGATCATGGGGGGTTAGTCTCGCATTTTTTTCACCGTCTTATTTTGCTTGTGGATTCCCATCTGTGTGGGAGTGCCTTTGGTTGACCTTCATTGAACTGTGAAGTATAAACCATGGCCAACTCTTATCACTGCATAATCATCCCAAAGGCCCATAAAAAGAACGCAAAAGGCTAACTACATTTTCTTTCAATTCCGCAGTTGTGTAATTGTGGACTCAACTCGCCGAGGCAAATGTATGTAACCACCTCTACCTGCACCATCCCCGATTAGAAAATTATCCACTCCCCTTACCCCGGTGGTTGCTATGCATGCCATCACTACGGCTAAGCCCGGAGCACTCTATTAACCCGCCCCTAGTGATGCCCGATGCATTATCAAAAACCGTCCCGATCTGGAGCGCCGTCCTGAACAGAGCCCTGTTCCCATCCGCGACTGCATACCACCCAGTCCGTCTTCCGCCCAATTACCTGGGCGCATCGGAAGAAGCGCAGATCGAGAATCGAATCGAAGGATTCGTGCATTCCCTAAAGGTACGAGTGCATATCATTAACGTGACTTGCGCAAACTATTGCACCACGACCCCTCATCCGGGCAAAAGTGGCTGATACTTGGTACCCAGAACCTAAAACTCGATCTGGACAGTCTGCGCCAGCAACTTGGCAAGCCAATCCAGATCGCATGGGCCAATAGGACATATTTCCACCCAGCGGACCTGCACAAGGGCGATGAGTATAATCTACTCGTACTATGCTCCGCTTCCAGGCGCGTGCATGGCGCCGAAATGTCCGAGGGCGGATACATCCAAGGCGCGGGTGATGATAGCGAGGCGTGGGCGTATGGGTTGACACCGCCGGTTTTCTGGGCTAACCAAGCTGTTTTGAAAAATACACCTGAAGACGAATTGCCGGAACTTATTGATCGGCTAGTGGCTGAGCATAAGCTGCTGGATGTGGCTCAGGACGCGACGCTCATTTCTCCCACGCGCAATTTGTACATTGGTTCGGGGACGGGCGTTGATGCTGGGAATCGGTATGATCTTGTCATTGACTGCAATGGGAGCATTGCGGCTGCTGAGGGCAATGCGAAGCGACTGAATTTGGGCTGTGATTCTGGGAAACTGGGAAGTCGGGATCTACGGAAATGTCTGGATAAGGTGCGTGAGTTCATCGGCGCCCGTCTTGGGACGGATTCGTCGCTGTCGGTGCTGGTTACCTGTGAAAATGGGAAAGATCTTTCGGCGGGGACGCTTCTGGCGATCGTTTGTCTGTTTTATAACGATGAGGGTATGTATGCAATGCCCCAGATGGTCTGGGTGATGGATTCAAACGCTATGTGAAATATGAATAAATAACTAATTGTTTCTCACAGGCGGCTTCGATGCCTCACTGAGCAAGCGGGCGATTGGCAAGCAATTCATTCGACAGCGTCTAGCCTGGCTCGTGTCATCGAAACATGACGTGAACCCGTCTCGCGCCACGCTTCAATCTGTCAATGCTTTCCTGATGCAGCCGCCGAATTATTGACCGCGAGCAATGTGATGACATTGCATCGCTTGGTCGGGTCTGATTGGTTTCGAAGCGCCTGGGTAATTAAGAACACGCTCCAAGGATCGCTCATTCGTTGTTCACAGCCTCCACGATAGCGCCGGCACTGCCCTGATCGAAGGAATCCAGCACGGCCATATCATCCACGCTGATGTCGAAGCTGAACACATCCGCGTTGGCCACGATTCGTTCCGGGTTGTCGGTCTTGGGCAGAGGCACCCAGCCCTTCTGCAGCGCGTAGCGGATCAAGATCTGCTGAGTGGACTTGCCGTATTTCTTTGCCACCTCTACTAGCGCTGGGTCGTTGGCTTTATAGTTTCGCACGATGGGCGAATACGCCTCGACAATAATGCCGTTCTTCTTGCAGTATTCGTCGATGACGCGCTGCTGGCACCACGGGTGGAGCTGCAAAAAATAGAATGTCAGTAATCACGATCAAACCAAGCTACCCATGTAGAATAGAAGAGTAGTGATATAAGCAAGAGCACCAACCTCGATTTGATTAACATGAGGCGGGAACACCTGGGCATATGAGCGCATCTCCTCGATGTGCCCCACACCGAAGTTGCTAACACCGATACTCCTCGCCTTGCCCTCCGCATACAGCTTCTCAAGCGCCTGCCACAAAAGCTTTCGCCCAGCAGAGCCCGAGCTGGAGGAGTGAATCAGGAACAAGTCGACATACCCGTCCGCGCCGCCAATCTTGTGCACGGAAGCCAGCAATTTATCGTAGGTAGCTTCGACCGAGGCTGCGGGGCTGAGAATCTTGGTCGTGACGAAGATCTGATCTCTGGGCACGCTGGTGATGCGCAATGCCTCGCCAACTTCCGCCTCGTTGGCGTAGAACTGTGCTGTGTCGATGTGTCGGTAGCCTGCGTCCAATGCCTTCAGGCAGGACTGCACGCACTGGTTGGTGGGGGAGCGGTAGACGCCGAAGCCGAGGCGCGGGATGCGAACACTCGAGTTCGGGAGGGGGAGGAGGTCGGTGATCTTGAAGGAGGCTGACATCTTGGAGTGATTGGCGAGTATTGTTGTTTGCAAAAAATAAGTCGACTGGGAGTTCTGAGTGTTTCAAAAGAATAATCTCCTGGCCCCGCTTTGCGAAATGAGGTCATTTTGGATGACTAACAGGCATGGTCTGGGCACCCGTGGGCCTGGGCAGGTGCGGCATCACTCCTACAATCCACAGTACCTACAATAGCTAAGTCAAGTTGAATTTTAGTCTAATTATCTAGCTATCGCAAGGAACTCCAACAGTTTACTGTCAAAAGCCTAGTGTTGGAAACAAATTCCGTTCCTAGATTTACTTGGCCACCAAAGAATTGCGTCATATCGTTTGATTGCGCTTACAATGGGGGTTGTGTTATTGCGCCATCGAAGAACACCGCCAGTATTGAACTTCAAATTAAGTATCAATGTTTATGCGAGAAACTAGGACTGTGTTACACTCAGGCGGATATCATGTAGATGTCTGAATATCCTAGCGACTTTGTCAGATTGTGAGAGATCAACCAAAGACCAATTCGCGCCCCGCATAATCTTCAATAGTACCCATAGACCGACGAAGACAATAACCTGTTTTAACAAGTCCTAGTTAGTAGATGTAAATTGAATTCGTTTAGGCACACAATATTTCTCTTACCGTCAGGTACGATGCTAAGAATGGCAAAAGATGGAACCCATTCCACAACGCAGCACCGTTTGCGACTAGTGAGACAAAGATACAGCCCAACAAGGCTAGATATGCCGTCAATGGCTGGCTATGGCTGCGGTATGGGTAGTCATCAGGATCCTGCTCGCTCCAGCGCTGGACGTGGGGGACATTTTCGCGTTCGAGATAATCACGATGCTGAGAAATACTGGGTGATAGAATGTCCGTTAATATTGCAACCATCAAACAGCTGGATTGTGAGACACACCATTGATAGAAGCGAATGAATGCCAGACACTCGCACCCCCAGACGATTAAAACCGCCGAGTATGCCATCTGGCTCAGTACCTCCACAAACTATTCGCTTTCATTAGTTCTGAAGTCTAGGTTAGAGAAGATAGGATGTCCTCTTACCGTATCCACGGAGGCGCGAGTTTCATTCGTGTTATTCGCAGAGGATTGAGCGTCGCTATTCCCGCGGATCAGCTGCAGGAATGGCACCCACCAGAACGCAACTGCGGAGAATATCATGGCTCGCCGGGGAACCTGTCGTCTATCCGTTTTGCCAAACCAAGCAAAGACACGCAGATACCATCTCTGACCTTCGCCTCCATCCAACCGGCTTGTTATGCCAAACAAGGTCCGAGAGGCGATGTACAGATTAGTACCCGCACAAGAGAGACACGTGAACACGAGGAAAGCATTGAACACGTCTGCCAAGTGCGGAATATTGGACATTGCCGCAATTGCAACGAATGCAGCACTCTTTGAAGGCATTTTGCACCCGGCCTCCACATCTATTGAAAGCCAACTGAGCCGAGGGAGAGCGCAATCATTTCGCTCTATATTCAACGTTGCGAGCAGCCCACTAATGGTATATCCGATCATTGCAAGCACAGGAATAAATATAGCAGAAAACTTGAATGATTTCCCGATATGGGCACCGTTAGACCGCAGAGACCTTCCTGGGGTTGTTGACTGTTCGTCTGTGCGATGTGGCCATTTTGCCTCTAGGGCAGAGGCAGCAACAACTTCAACTCCGGTGTAGGCAAAGGTTGCTATCGAAATGCTCATACTGGTATGTTCGTTAGTAGTTTGAGCAGATGGAAAGACACATGCCACGACTCACAGTAAAGCAGCGCCCCAGTTATTGGCCGCCCGTGTATCAAATTCGGTAGGCGATTCCCAATCTGATGATATCAGTATCTCAATCCGACAAGCCATTTATGACTCGATAGTCATTGCTTACACTTGGCGCCCAAGGGCTGGGTATCTGGGCCAGCTGTTCATCGTTAGCACATATACCCCCAAATAACAGACACACCCAAGCAAAGCCATAATCACTTTACTAACCTCCAAGATTAATTGCAATCAGTATCACGATGATGACACCAAGCAATACAATTTTGATGCTGCCTGTTGCCACTTCCAACCAACCATATATCTGAATACTCGTCAGCTGGCAGCTTCTCGGCCCCGAGGCCAAAGGCATTTGCATTGGTCAGCAATGACGGAGGAAGCATACCTCAATTCTTATGGCATTAATGCAGACTAGTATCAATGGGATCAGTAGATATATAATTAGGCCCTGTATAACCGGCCTGTCGCGGATGTAATCCCAAAAGTTGAACTCCGCGGCCGATGTTGCCACCAGTGTAGAAAAGGACATCGAATAGACAAACCTGTGATAGTTGTCAGTAGCTTTCTCCTCGTGAATGCCTAGATATTACCAATTCTTTCTATGAAACTGGTGTTTCTAGGGGGCAATGTACCAGTATGTGACACCGACCGCGATTCCCAGTTCTTCGTCGACAAACTGGCTAACATATACTGACAATGCACCAGGTATCGGCCAAATGCACAGCATTTCAGTGATACATTGCATGACGGCCCACGTTAGTATTCCGATGAAGATGAAAGATAGAAGCACTGCCAACGGTCCACCGAGTTCAAGAATCTGACCACCACGCCAGTAGAGACCTGTACCGAGAGTTGCATTGACTGTGATCATCTATTTATGTTAGCTTTTCCGGTTTCAAGATTGGTCGAATTTGGAATTTCGAATATGAGTAACGTACAAATAGATGGATGCCCCTCAGATATCTATTGACAGTCCGCTCACGGCCCAGTGTGACAACAAGCCGTTTCTCTGAGCACTTTGTGAGAATCCCCGTGCCCTTTGAGTCTGAAACAGATGAAGGTGACCATATTAAACTCGGGGAGTCATTTGGCGGACGAAGAAAAGAACTCTGAGATGGAGATGGACTTCCATTTGGATTTTGTTCCGTCCTTTGGGTGGGTAAAACACCAGAGAGCCAGGACCGTGCCCATTCTGGTAAGTCTGCCTGTGACATGACGAACCTGTATAGATCTCTATATACTCCACCGGATCATTCCACGTTGCAATGTTCGAAAGTAAGGGGCAACTTCAATAAAACTATAATACTGAGCCGCATTTTATGCATAATGCAAGTCTCACCTGTGAGAGTATTGAAGACTTCCCCTCAGATGCCTTGAATATTTAGACCAATCAAGTCTGGACTTATGCACGGGATCCTGGTCTTATCACACACCGGAGATGACATCCCCATGTGACATAGTGTTATCTCACAACTCTCGAATCAGCGTACCCCAGGCAAGCTTGCAAAGGATCGGGTATCGTCCTCCCGACGTTACATTGAACTGACCCTTTCAGCCGCTTGGGGTTTATCACACCCCCGTGTTTCGAACTCACAAAGTCAAAACAAAAAGATCGCAATTTGAATAATGCCTGAAAACGGACAGACCTCTCCTCAAACCACAAGTGCTCGATACTTACGTAGAGACAGCCTTCAGGATTTACTTGAACGTCTGTTCCCTGGACAAACAGACTTTGGGATTCAGGTAATTCGCCTGAGAGTTGTGCATCGGGCGCAGGCTGATTCTCGTGTTCTAGATCAAAGAAGACCAATGGTCCTTCACTGCCCCTAGAATAGTGGAGACTGTAAGTTAGTATGATCCTTTGTCTGTCCCAAAGTCGATTGCTGACACCTGTCCCACAAGGCTGAGCTCGAGTAAGAGATAGATGGTTCGTTCTCGCTGAAGAAAACTGACATGGAGTTAGTTCGGCTCAAGACGATTAGTACAAGGCTGGTGTGACATGGATATGAGGCAAACCGAGTTGAGGCGCAGCGGAAGGCACAGTCGTATATGTTTGAAGATCCGTGCAGGGGTGTAACGGAGTGGCAATTCAATAAACATATCCCCTCAGGCACATCTGATATAATAATCCAGATCATTTCAATCTTCTCTTATCATTCTCTCTACGTACTGCACATAATGACTTTATTTGATGATTACTGTCTAGACCGCCCGGCTGAACCCGTACAAGTCTTCGAGGTCGGACAGGATGCAACACTCCTCACAGGCTCATACCAACAATCAGACCTTCGCACGCTAGAGGATACGGCATCCTTTTTGGAAAACAGTCAGAACAAGCCTTACAAATGTCGCCTTGTGTATGTTAAATCCACATCACACTTTCTTCCGCTAATAATTGATAGGTCAATATGTCAAAAGAATTCCTGGCAAAAACTGCAGATCACTAAGCCTATGCTGGACCTCCTCGTCGCTGGACACGGGATAGGTCCATCATTTTGGGCGGTGCCATCGTGCTTTTATCGGCGCAGTGATGACCTCGAAGGGGTATTTTGCCTTCCATTTACAGAGTCCTGCTCTGGCTCCATAACTGGTACTTAGCTTTGACCGGGGTGTCAATCCTACTGCTAAATTGAAGAAACAGAAATATCCTACACTCTGAGATACCCCGAGTACAAGCCGCAAGAGAACAAATGGGTCATTCGCCAGAGTGGAATTTACCACCGATACGACAAAACTTCGTCCCACAGTCTTTTCGTACTGTTCAATCCCACACCACGATCCAAAGCGCATTTGCAGGCTGAGAATTCACTGCGTGATCTTCGCCCCGAAGTTGAATCCGACCCTTTTTGGTTACACCGGGTCTTGTTCTCAGAGTACTTCCCTGCCTGGAGGAAATATATCGCCGTACACGAACAACGATTTCTACCCCTTGCAGGCAGTACAATCGCCACTTTTATTAGTGGGCCATTGAGTCTAGGGTACGATAGCCTCAGCACATTGACTGCCTTGCAGACTCGATTTCTCGAAGTTCCAGCCATCTTAGCATCGGCGACAGATATTCTCGACGAGCTGTGTGCCGTTGTTAGCTCCGGGTCGGTGCCCTCACGAAATAACGCCGGAGTTCAGTTTTTCAAAAATCAGCGTCGAGAGTGCATTGCAAATTCCCATAATGCTTCGCATTTGCAGGAGCGGACACAGATTGTCTCAAAGCTGCTAGCCGACACTTTGCTATTTCGGAATCAGGTCCTGGCCAAGGAACAAAATTCAAACATGTTACAGCTGAACAAGTCAGCAGTATTCATCACCACTTTGACGTTGGTATATCTTCCGTCGTCATTCTTGGCCGTTAGTGTCCTTCCTGTGATTCTCAACACACCTCGGCCGTCAGATCTCTACTAACACTCTCACGCGCAGACTGTATTTGGTATGAACTTCTTTGACATGGATCAAGCGAACAATCGTATTGTCGGTACACCTATGATATGGATATTTTTCGTATCATCTATTGCCCTGACGGCATTCACGTTTCTTCTTTACTACTGGCTATTGCGTCGCGATGGTCCAGCGTTCCGTGCGCTTGTACCGAGGATACAAATTCGCCCAGCTTGGAATTTTGAACAAGTGAGGAGGCGGATCACAGGCGGCGCTAATGCCAGTATCGAGCTACAGTCTCCAGCTTGAGAGACAAGCTTCGATACAAGCCTTTAGCTTAGCAGTTATATGGAAGTCCTATAGATATTGAGCAGCAACCAGGTTGTAAAAATGAGATAGAGATACATGCATAGACAAAAATAGATAAAATGATGGTGTGTATGGGAAAATTATTACAATTACCAATTAAGGACAAAATTATCAACAAGAAAAGGTCTATTGTGACGCTGAAGTACCCGATCTAGACCTAGGCACGGTGATTTTGTATATGCCACATTGGTTTGCACCCATCAAAGCGGCAAGAATAACAACGCTCTCTTCTTCGCCGTGGACAATTCTCTCGGCAAACTCATCGCTGTATGTCAGGCCTGGGATTTCAGCAAGCTCTGTCACAGTAATCGTTGCTGCCTTTGTTTCCTTGGGTGATGGCATGGGAATCTCCAATAAAAGCATCTTATGATGCGCCGCACGCCTCCCCACCGCGAATATTTTCTCATCATTCTTGCCCATCATTAGCTTAAGCACTCGGTAATTCTTGATGTTGGCCTGTGTATCATCTTTCTCGTCCACTTTTGCGAGGCTTTGGATATACAGCTGCTTTTCTCGGGTGACAAGTACACAAACATGGGGTCTTAGGGAACATGGGGCGAAAGAGGTGAAAAGACCAACAGTGCTGCTACTTTCAAGGCCCTATATGGAAGATATTAGATACCCAGACACTTTGAAGTTGAACATTGGGAGCCGAAGACTTACTTGAGGCTCGATAATGAGCGGGCATAGCTGGTTAAACTTAAGGGACACATGTATGACGGGAATTTCGTGCTTGTGGTTTGGTCCACTTCGTTGTGGTCGAAAGACCATGTAAAGATCGTCATTTGTTGAGAATGATAGCTGAACCACGTCTGCTGCCGGCCAGTCCAGTTTATTCCCCAGCTGCCACACATTCGGAGAATTGACAGAACCAATATATAAGGATCCTGGGTTCTGGCCCTCATTCTTGTCATTGACAACGCATGCTATTGTCTGACCTCCAGGCGCGAGAGCCACCTTTTTAATCTCAGGTAGCGTTGGTACGGAGATTCGCTCCCCATGCCTAAGATTGACGTCCACACCTAACCCCTTTCGTAGTTTAAAGATGTAACACTTTCAAAAAAATTAGACAGGAATCAACAAAAGAGAGAGCGAAATTCTTACTTGGAAAGTGCCTCCGGAGGTGGCAGCTATCAGATGTTTTCTCGTCAGGCTGATACTCTTCCAGCGGTATTCCGGTGTCTTGAGCGAATATTCCGCCGCTGAACGTGCGCCCCCAATCCCCTTTTGCTCCAGAGATTGCGCAGTATAAAGCGAAATGGTGGTGTCAGTCCAAAACGCAATAACAGTTCCATCCGGAGAGATCTCGCAGCCTTTGAAAGACTGAGTCGGACCTAGATACCAATGCTCGACACGTCTGTCTGTGGCGGGCTCTTGCCTCTCACCTATGAGGACATCGATGCGCTTTCTCTGTAGCCTGCTGGCAAGGCCAGGCTCTTCCTCTGGCAAAGGTGGGTTCCCTTCATCGTTCAACTCCTTGTACTTCCGAAATGTTTCAAGCAACTTATCTTCCAATTTCTGGGCGTTGCATCTCTTTGATTGCTCTGGCTGCAGAACATCATGCTCTAGATAATCCAGAAATGATTTCACGGCTTCCCCTTCCTTGTGGCTCCTCTGTCTGGCTTTCTTGATCAGTTTGTCATGCCATAGTGTGACCGCTGGGTGGATCTTTGGTCGACCAAACAGTGGATTTGTGACAAAGAAGCGATCACCATCCGAACTGCGATGCTGCATTCTCCTGTCTCGATACTGCTCCACGCCAAAGCTGCCCTCCTCTAGATATGTAAAAACAATACTGAGGACACACCCCAAAGACCAGACATCGTTCGCTGTTCTCATATCTCTAAGTGGTGAAAGGGACTCGGGTCCAAGATAAGTGCTGCCGTCCCCGCGTCTGTTGTAGGTTCCCGATGTAGATGCATCCCTGGGCTGTTGGAATCGGACAAACCAGCTGTCGAAGTCGGTCTCCTCCCTGCGAGATCTCAATTTGAGACGAGACATGCCGAAGTCACTAATCTTCCAGACAAATTCCTCCTTGTCTCCAACCTTTTCAAGGAACACCAGAATGTTGCTCGGCTTGAGGTCCATATGGTAACATACCATCCTATCTCCCTCGGCGGTCCTCATGCCATTATGAAGGAATTCCAGCCCACGCGCGAGTCCTCGAGCCGAGTTGATTATATCTGTCTTTGTAGTGGTATTTGGTCTGGCTCGGTCGTCCTCCAAGTAGGCGCTCAGATCACACATGGCAAGGGGCATGAAGATGCTGTAATTTGTGCCAATGGAAAGGCTGCCGTAAATATCGACGATATTTGGACAAGTCCGATCGCAAGCAAGGATTTGTTTCAAAATGTCGTCTTCTATAACCCCAGTGGATTGATAATCTTTGCGTGCCAGTTCTTTTGGCTTCTGGTTTGTTCCTTCAATGATGTCCGGGTCTTCAAAGTGGCCCTTGGCAATCTTTACTTGGTACACAGTGCCCTGTGCACCTTTCCCGCGATATTTCTGCTCCAGGTAGGGTAGACACTGCCGATCTAGGCTCTGAATCCGAACTTCTTTTTTTTCTGCAGATCACGATGGGACAAAAGCATGCTTGCTGTGTCATGAATTTGTCCGGCGTGACCTGTTCCCCGAAAATCCTAGTGAGCCTCTCACGATCTGTTGGTAAAGAGCAAATATCTTCCGACCAGTCAGTTTGAGCCAGCAGTCTGGTGAATCTTCGAGCGGCCGTGATAGTGCAGGAAGTGAAGATGAGTATGGCGAGGAAATCATAAAGCTCCCGTTCTCTCATTTTGTTGATCAAATTATCTTCGGTAAGATCATAACCATTTGCTGGGATATCCTTCAATTGAAGACTGCGAAAAAAGTCTCGCAAGACTTCTCCTCGCTCTAGCACCTCCTTTGCGGTACCATGGGGAGCAAATCTGCCTCCCTCCTCATGGCTCCTTTCCATCTTTTCCATAATTCGCACATAGATCTTCTCACACTGCTTATTGTATTCAGTGGATGCCATGTTGGAGTTTGCTGTTTTACTGGGGGAATAAAGCCCCAATGTTAGACATGCCCAGTACAGTAGAAGAATTGAAGAAATGTAAATCTCCAGGGGCTAAGCCATTATCGACACGTTCCCCCGTACCTCGTATGCCCCGCATAATCTGGCGGCTCTCTGTTTCGGCTGAGCAAAGATAAGGCAAAAACAGCAAAAACAGGAAGAATCGGGTATTAAGTCGTTTACCCTGGTAAATTTCACCCCATTTCTAACCCCTTTTGAGCTTCACGTGCTGGTTATCGGAGATCAACTCTTTGGTCAAAAAATCGGGAAGTGATATATCGCTTCCGAAAGTGCCCTCTCAAAAGCAATAGTTACTCTCTTCTATCTTAGATAGGCTAGATAGCCGAGCCAGTTGGGAAAAACCTTTCATTATCGCGTTTTATTATTTATGTCAGTTCATTAACCGACTTAGTGTGAACTGTTGACATCCATCGTTGACCGGGAATCACCGCCTTGGTAAACCCAGATCGAGTACCACCGTCGGCACTTTTTTGGTACCCCCTCTAAGTACGTTGTACTGACGCATACCATTTCTGTAGAATGCTTGCGGTTTTCTTTTCCGTTGTCGGGCTCAGACGCCACTGAAGATTGGAACTAATCCACGATACTGTGACTGGGTACACCGCATCTGCATAATGCGGCCAAGTGGGGCTCAAAATAAGCTTCAAAGAGAGAAAAAGGCTATAGAGATCACTGTATTAAGAGAGAGAGAGAGAGATGGAGAGAAAATTGCGCATTCCTATGGAGACAACAGAAAGATGAGAGAGAGGGAAGGAGAACTAGCTGGTGTCACTATTGACGGCCTGAGGCCTCAGCAGGAAATCTAGATGTCACATTGACCCAGTCTCGAATCTGGTCAGACACCCCTTGGCCGTATATGATATGATTTCTATTCAAATGTAATTTTATATGACACCACAGCGATATCCCCCTACTCGCTTCAGGGGAAACCAGTGTGGATGTGCACTTTGGACGAGTATAAAAAGCCTAAATTACACTGTTTATAGCTTACCCAGAGGTGGCACCGCTATGGGCCCTTTAGACAGAGCCTAGTGAAACTCGAAGCTAAACTTCTACGTCTTCATTTCCAGCCTTTTCGGGATATAGAATAGTGGGCAGATCCCGCAGTCCATATTGCCGAATTTGACAAATTACGCCCGAGTCCCATCTTTGATATGGGTCCTTAGCTTGTAATTTGGCAATCGCCTCACATCGGTTGGGCCATGGGTCACGACGATTTGCGGATGCTTAAAGGGCAACTCAATTGCCCTCGAAGGTGTGATATCGCGTAATAGCAGGTTCGATGAGCACTAAGGTCAAGAAAAGGCTTGGGTGCATCAAAGATAGGTTAACAATCTGGCAGGCGCCCATTTTATGGCCGATGCCAATGATCGGTCGAGGCATCTCGCCGCGGAAAGTATTCACCGGATAGAGAAGATCGTGCGGATGAACGGCTGACAGCTACCAGCCATCAATACCTATTCAACATATCCATAAACAGTCTTCCAGTCAAGCTGTCCATATTGGCCATATGAGAGGAACAGATGGAGTTGCATAACGGAATTGCGGTGCTTGTCATGTTTCCTACGAGAACTGTACGTTTATCTATAATGATTTGATCATAGTAACTGAAAGGTATGTGGTTTATAAAGTGAACAATGTCCACTTAAAAGGACCAATCGGACAAACATTCTGACCGAAAATAAAGAAATAGGCTATGATAACAGTGTGGGAACTCCCTACTTTCGCTGGTAATGTTTAACGTGCATTATAGGCCCATGCCAGATACGTGGGTTTGACTGGCTTTCTATTGGTAGGGTCAAACAATTGGAAACCTTGGAAATGGACTACGAAGTACATGTTGATGACCCTTGAGATATTAGAATGTGGTTTCCCACAATATTTCATTTTCTATGAAGCAAGAATGTTTGGGCAAGGGGTAGTTGCCCCATGCGAATTAAACATGAAAGCGCTGGACATGCTGCCCAACGGCGCCAGAATGGTTGAAACTCGACCTAAACGATATCCAACAAAGGGCCACTTTCAAAATTTGACAGGCCCAGAGGCTCAGCCCTGTCTAGTAGCGCTCGCCTATATGAAATCTCCTATCTATAAGACAAAGGGGGTAAACAACAGAGATCTATACTTAGAAGTGGATCCACAAGGGATGCAGCTGCAGTCACTTGATAATTTTCCTATTTGAATATTCTTTTCCAAGCCTATTTTGACCTAACAATTCAGTTTCTTTTCTCTCTTGAGTTCAAAAATATACGGTTGCTCGGGTGATCTTCAGCTCCGACTTGCGGGAGAACACACCCCACTCGACATTATCTCCCCCCCCCCTTTGTGCTCCAGTCCAAATCGGAAACCGAGTCTTTGAGCCTTTCTGATTACCCTAGTTCTTTTCTTCTTAATCCTAAACCCTGTTCGCTGTCACCTCCCGAAACTATCATTGCCAATCGGCCCTGGATGTCTCCGTAATCGAAGATGTTGACGGTTGAGAAGCAGTGGATTAATGTGCAGCAAAAGACCTTCACCAAATGGTAACCCCCCTATCGATGCTTTTTTTCTCTCCGTATGAACCTCAGCTAACGATGTTAGGCTGAATGACAAGCTGAAGGCACGGAGCCTGTCCATCGAGGACTTGGTCACTGACCTCTCCGACGGCGTATGTCCCACCTCTGCCCCGCTCTCTAATTTCTTGGAAATTGCTGATCACCTATTAGGTCATTCTTATTCACCTCCTCGAAATCCTTGGGGGAGAGTCACTCGGTCGATATGCCTCGAAACCTAAACTGCGCGTACAGCGCTTCGAAAATGTGAACAAAAGTCTTGATTTCATCAAGGGGAGGAGAATCCAGATGACGAATATTGGAGCTGAGGATATTGTGGACGGCAATCAAAAGATCATCTTGGGCTTAATCTGGACCCTGATTCTGCGGTTTACTATCAGTGACATCAACGAGGAGGGCATGACTGCGAAGGAAGGATTGCTACTCTGGTGTCAACGAAAGACGGCATGCTACGACGATGTGGAGGTCCGAGACTTCTCATCTAGCTGGAACAATGGCTTGGCCTTCTGCGCGCTCCTCGATATCCACCGACCCGATCTGATCGACTACGACTCGTTAGATAAGAGTGATCACCGTGGAAATATGAAGCTGGCCTTTGAGATCGCATCAAACGAAATCGGCATCCCCGACTTACTCGACGTGGACGATGTATGCGACGTACCCAGACCCGACGAGCGATCCCTCATGACCTACATCGCCTACTGGTTCCACGCTTTCTCGCAATTGGAGAGAGTCGAGAATGCCGGGCGACGTGTGGAGAAATTTGTCAACAACATGCACGGCGCATGGGATATGCAGAACTCCTATGAGCGCCGAGTAAAGGAATTGTTGCGACTGATCCGTGGCCAGCGCGAGCACTGGAAGAACTCCTCATTCGAGGGAACATACAAAGACGCCAAAGAACAATCATATCAGTTCTCGCTCTACAAGCGGAACGAGAAACGCCAATGGGTGGCCGAGAAATCTGACCTAGCTGCTTTGCTGGGCAATATCAAAACCAAGCTTGGTACATATCGACTGCGTCCTTACGATCCACCGCAAGAACTGAGTCCAGAAAACTGCGACAAAGAGTGGGAGATCCTCACTCGAGACGAGCATGAACGCAGTCAACTTATAAACGAAACGATCCGTGACATCAAAAACAAGCTACGCCGCTCCTTTGCTGACAAGGCAAATGATTTTGCACTGACCCTGAAGACCTTATCATTGGCGATCTCCGGACTGGATGGTGATGTTGAAGACCAGCTTGATCATGTTAAAAAGTTGAATGGTAACTTGCCGCCCCTCGACGCCTTCCTCGACGCTATCGCAGAATTAGACCAACAGTGCGCGGAGGCCAATATTGAAGAAAATGACTTCACTACATACACCTTGGACGAGCTTGCATATGAGCTGAGTCTCGTCAAATCCAGCATTTCAAAGAAGCTGGCTTTCCTCGACAACCAGATGGTTGCTCGCAACATGACCAACTTGACTCCTATCCAATTGGAAGAGTTTGAGTCGGTGTTCCGCCATTTCGATCGCGACTCTTCCAACACGCTCCACGAGCTCGAGTTCTCCGCAGCGCTGGCCAGTCTGGGACTGGTCTACGATGAGGACGAGATGCACCAAGTCTACGTGGAGGTATGTGGGGCCAACCGGCTATCGCAGAATGCCGGAGTCAGCTTCGAGCAGTTCATTCGGTTTATGGTCAGCGTAACAGAGGATCAGAATACTGCTGAACAGGTCTTCCAAAGTTTCAAGGAAGTTGCCGATGGCAAGGTATGTGGAGCGTTTCTTTAATCTCTGGCAATTTATTGAGCCACAGTCACTAACTTCTCCTACAGCCCTATGTCACAGAACTGGACCTTCGACACTCGCTCATTCCTGACGATGTTATTGAGCATTTGGTTAAGACGATGCCCCCACATGATGGCCCCGATCTACTTGAGGACCGGGAGTTGCCCAAGTACGACTACATCAGCTTCATGGAGAAAATGCGAGAAGTAAACAAAAATAATGTGAATGAGCAATAAATGGTATCATGGAGGTTGATATTTGCGCAGCATTACTGGTGGTTATGGGGGATTTGCACTAGCTCGGTGTTGCTGTGTTTCTGGTGTTTTCGTGGAGGATTCTCATGCTTTTTTTTTTTAAACCCGGATCTCTCCCTCTTCTTTTTTTTTTAACCTAGCTCATCTTGCATCTTGGGGCTCGGTGGTTGTTCCTCTTTAACACATATTGTGTGTATGCTTTTTAGTTTGTAATGATCAGGAATACCATGTGAACATTTTCAAATAATAAGACTATCGGCAGGCGTAGAGTCGGACTTGAGCAAGCGAGGATAGCCAAGACACATTAATATGCCAAATCCTTGTTAAAATGGAATCCTTGAAGCTATGTACTATT